GTTGTTTCTTAAAGTACGACAGATGCTGAATAGAATGCAATGTGTAAGGAAGTAAGTTCCATAAGCGTGTAACACGAACGAAATATGGGTGCTTAAAAACATCTGTGCGTGCAAAAGGCACTGTAAGTGTCATGTCGTCACTGTTGCGCAAAGAGCGACCCGTATTTTTCCAAGAAAGAAAACCTCCTGGTATATCAACTAACTCATGTATAATTTTAAAGAGAAAAACAAGATCTGTGTTTCTCTACGCATATACAAAGGTAGAAGATGAAGTTTTTCTAGTCTAGATTTATAATCAACTTCATGACCTAGGATCAGACGAGAAGCTCTACGTTGCACCTTTTCAATCTTATTAATATTCCGTTTCTTATAAGGAGACCATACTGGGCTAGCATATTCAAGAGTTGGCCTCACCCAAGTAAAATAAAGCAGACGCTTCACACTGTTATCATCAATATCCTTTAAGGTTCGATATAATAGACCTAATAGTTCCTTCGATATAATAGACCTAATAGTTCCTCGGCTGAACAATTGAGCAGAACTCTGAACCCACACATTCAATTATACATATTTGTAGACATAATTTGTAAACATTTGGCTGCTTGGAGCGAGCTAGCGATTCACAATTTGCACGTCGTTTCTAGACCGCGAGAGACATTGCAACAAAAATCCTTTCAATTGACCAACTAATTTTCGTATATAGCTTGAATATTTCGACGCATTATAAAACATTTTAAAGTTTTTAAACGCAAGCTTCGCTCCTCGCCCGAAGATTTCAAACTGAATATATAATAATTGTCAAAAACCTACTTAGGGGGTGGGGTACATTGACACGGCCACTAGGTACATTGACACGTCCATTCTGTTCGATATGGCAGGCCTCTCTCCCTGAATTTTTTTTTTCAAAACCCATTCGCAGGCTAAAATCCATAGAGAGGCCTGCGGAGGAGGCTAAGCTAATGTTTTCCTTTCCCCGTGGGTAAATTGCCGGGCGAAATTAGTACTCACGTCCCGGGTGTACACCCGGAACGCCGTTGGCTGTTGGACAAAGAAGAGAAGCATGTACATTTAGGAATTAGCTGGGACAATATTATTATTCAATTTACGTGTATAATGATTTCAGCATTGTAAAATTTAATATCAATACAGATTAATCGCTTGAAATTACAGGGCCGCCTGTGACTATATACGTCACATATACGATCAGTATTGAACGAAACGAAAAATGTTAATGTTTCCTAACATTATATTTTGATAAAGACCCATGTCGAACAAACAAATGTGGGAAAATAAAAAGTGCACACCAATCGCAGAAACAGGCGAATATAACTGTACATGTGAGAAAAACTTTATTGAGAAAGATGGAACTTGCGCACCAGTATCACCAGTAATAGTCCAGGAGGAGAAGGAGGGGTATCGTAACCCGAGCAGGGAATTTATGAGAATATGTGACTTTGGTCAATTTTGGGGCGCTGATTTCAAAAATCGATGTTATACGGGCCAATACCGGGGCCTTCAGCCTCGTTTTGATGCATACAGCCTCGTTTTGAAGCATACAGCCTCGTTTTAGGGCATACATAGGGAACACGTTAGTTGTCTTAATGGACAACTTGCATGTTAGAAAAAATTTTAATCTAAGCAGAGAAAAGGGAATCGGACACCACAGCTAAAAAGAACATATTGAAATTAGTAAAAGTGCAAAATTTGGTTGCGAAATGTTGTAAAGCTTGGAAAATATAGCCTTGCAAAGTTTGCATATTTTCAGTATATTTGTATTACGAGCGGAAATTGTTAACATTTTTGAGCCGAAAATGGTAACAATTTCCGCACGTAATACAAATATACTGAAAATATGCAAACTTTGCAAAGCTATATTTTCCGAGCTTTACAACATTTCGCAACCAAATTTTGCAAGTGTACTAATTTTAATAAGTTCTTAACGGGAATTTACTTTTTTTTTGCCTAGATCGGTTAGATCAAAAATTTGTCTAACATGCAAGTTGTCTATTAGCTAGGGAAACCAGTGATTTTGGTCAATTTCGGTACACTGATTTCAAAAATCAATGTTACACGGGCAAATACCGAGACCTTAAGCCTCGTTTTGGTGCATGCAGCCTCGTTTTGGTGCAAATAGAGGGAAATCATTAGTTACCATAGATAAGAAAAGTCGTTGGTGATCTTGGTCAATTTCGGTGCGCTGAATTCAAAAATCGATGTTACACAGCAAAATACCAAGGCCTTCAGCCTCGTTTTGGTGCATACAGCCTCGTTTTGGTGCCTACATATGTGCCTTAGATAGCCAAGGAAATTGGTGATTTTGCTCAATTTCGGTGCGCTAATTTCAAAAATCGAAGAAATATGCGCAGATATATTGGAACCTCTAGCCTCTGTTTGATACGCATATCCTTGATTTAGTGGAACTATTGGGAAAATCCTACTTAAACAAGCAAGAAAGCTAGTGATTTCTGCTCTTTTTGATAAAAAGCAATTCTGTCGCCCCATTAAATTGAGGTCATGTTATGCATGGCATTAAAAAACATGTACATTCTGATTACAAACCTTGCATTTTCCTTTTCAAAATTCACTCGTGTCTTCAATTTCCACATCTAAATCATCCTCGTAGTCATCATCGGAGGACAAATCTCCGTGCCTGCGAGTAGCGCATCAATCTCCTCGGGATAGGAAATGTCACTCCAGACCACGTTTCCATCTCCGTCCCATCCATGTTCGTCGGGGCTCTCAAGTTCTACTAGAAGCTGATCGGCGTGTCAAAGATGTACGCGACATAGTTAGCTCTCATGATGTGATGATATTTGACTGGCATGGTGGCATCAGACTTAGGTCGATGATCTTCTTCTCCTTGTTGAACTTGTTCCAAAATACTTTCTTCCTTGCCTCATTGACAGAAAGGATACTTGGATGCCCGTATATA